AGGGAATCATTATGTTTTGTAGCATGAATGTAACTCAGCTTGCAATAGTTGCAGATAAACTGTGATTTTCTTTCTGTTTCTGAAGGGGACTGATGGAAAGAAAGGCGACAAAGGAGAACCAGTATGTTTGTATTTATCATATCTCTCGCTGATGAACATGTTTATTGTTCCGCCTGGTTGACCGCCTTCTGACCATTCTTCTGTGTCAGTCACCATGTCGCATCTTCACAACTTGCTATCCTCCTGTGATGTCATGGTTTCTATTTTGATATGTTTGGTGATTAACTTTTGTGTGCGCCACACTTCGATGCACCTACTATTTTCATATGCGCTGCAAATAGCGGTGTGACATCATAGATTTTAACTATGTTTTCTTGTCCTCTTCCTTTCATTGTTCACAAAGGGGAAACCAGGGCCTCCAGGAACACAAGTAAACAAGTCTTTATTATCATGTTTGACAGAGCCATTCCTTGTAACATAGCTCGTAAAGAACAGATGTCATCTCTCAGTCAGTTGATGGAGTGTAGCAATTAGCAAGATAACTTTAGATTTCTCATTTTGTCCTACCAGATTGTTGCAGACAACAACATAGTGACCAGGGTGATTAAGGTACCTTGACAAACAACATGCTTTTTATTTGTTTTTTTGCATCAGAGAATTAAAACATCTCTTTTCTTTTCTCTCAGGGTGAGCCAGGGGAGCCTGGTCAGCCTGGTTTGAGAGGAGAAACAGGTCAGCCTGGACCAAGGGTGAGTAACCTGACACTCGATTCACATGTCAGGAACATGTATACTGCTAGTTTAGAATCCTGATGACTGTGAATATCACTGATAAATTGTATAATAAACTGTGTAATATGACAAAGTTTTACAGCTAAAATAATCAGTCTATTAATTAATTGACAGAAAGCAACCTGTAGGAGTTGGGATAATAAATTAATTGGCAGTGTTATTTTTCAGGCAAAAGCATTCTCTGGTTTAGCTTCTCAGATGTGGAGATTGCATGAGTTTTCTGTTTTAAATGTCATTTAAATATCTTTTTGACATTTCACAGATTAAAAAAGCTTAATCATCTAATCAAGAAAACAATCTGCAGATGAATTTATATAAAAAATAACCATTAGCTGAAGATAATTAGCTCTAATTGGGTTACCTTCTAACTGATAGTTGGTATTTTTAAGTTGGTATGTTGATCTGTTAACTGTCAGACTGGAGCTTAAACCACATGAATTCCACATGAATCTCCTGAATTTTGAATCATTCCCTTATTGAAATGTTTGTCTCTTTCTACAGGGTCCAGAAGGTAAACCAGGATTACCAGGATCATCTCTGGTATGTGTATATCTTTCAAAATATGTTTACTGTGGTATTGTTTGTAGCAGTGTGACTTATAGTTATTTTTTAAATATATATTTATTTATATATACTCATTCATTTGGCAGATGCATCTGTCTAAGGTGACACCTGTGAAACCGTTTGCTTTGCAGGGCAGTTCTGGAAGAAATGGGCTTGATGGTTTACCAGGAGTGAAGGTTATAAAAACTTCTGCACGCAACTTTATGTGCATCATTAAAATCTGGCCATATAAATCACACTGAGCTTGAATTTAAAAGCTTACTCATGAGGTTTTTCCTTATAACTGCAGGGTGAACAGGGACAAAATGGGGAGCCTGGTCTGGTGAGTGTGCCAGCAGTATTTTGTAACAACATGCAGTATGCATTTATACTGTAAATCAACCCCTCTAGGAAAAGGCTTTGCTCAAACATATGAAAAATAAACAAATAAACATGAATGAAAACTGTGGAGAACTAATTTACTTCAGACACATACTCATCTAATCTTATTGTGCAGGTGTTTGTGACTCAAATACTGAGGCTGAATCAAAAGACTGATAATGAAGTTGACAGATCTTTCACTCAGATTTTTTATTGTATTTTTCTATTCATGCACCCAGACATGTTTTATGTCTTTGTCAGGGTGCTTTAATGTTTTGTTGGACTGTCAGTTTTACACTCTGGTCCCAAAGAAACTGGAAGAAAAGACAATTAAATTAAGCTTAAAATATAAAGAAGGTGAACAAACTGTCTACTTAAGCTATAATGATGTCTTAGGACAAAAACAGATGTCTCAAAGTAATTCAGTTCTATTAAGAGTTTCCTTTTTTGGCAGTATTTATTATTGTGTTTTTCTACCAGTGCCTATAATACTGTAGATTTAATTGAATATGGTGAAGAGTTTGGTGAATTTGTGAATGTGTGTGTGCATTTGCATGGGAACAGA